AGACGGCAAGAGAATCGTAATTTGCCGCTCCGCCGCGCGCGGCGATGGGCGCGGCGTTTTCTTAACTCGTGTTAACCTGTCGATTGGAGCACCGGACTTCATGTAGACCCCGTCATCGTAGACATTCATGACTATTTTCGGTTCTGAATTGCCTGTTGTCGCCATCTACTACCTGAAACCATCATTTGCGGGCGCGACGTCGCACGCGACGCCCACCAGCGCGGTGAATTACGATTCTCTTGTCACATAAACTTTTGTTGGCTCCCGTGGATCGATGCCGATGCCTTCTGTGGAGACACGTAAATTCCTATGAGGCTATACAATGGCACGGATTTTGTTTTACAATTGGCAACAGTCCACAGGTCTCACCAAGGTGTGACGCGTAACTCAACAGGAACTAGCTAGCGTGCACAATGCCACTCCCAAACCGAACAGCGCCCGTCCATGTTCCGCGTATTCTAGTGCATTCTCTTAGACTGCGCTCATACTTTGCATCAGCGTACAGCAGCGTTTCGAGGATAAGCCAGCGACTAGGAAAGTATGGCTATCAATCTAGCGAACGCCAGCGTTTTCGTGGGCAGAACAGCCCGCGAAAACGCCGCTGTACGCTGGCATACGCCGTTGGACTGACGCTGACGTATGCTAGATCGAAATCCATAATTTCCAGTAGCTGGCGCATTCCTTTCGTGCAGTTCTAATGAATTAGTACGACCGTTGTGCCAGTAATCGTCTTGATTCCCCTTGATATCCTATGGGGTCCTTTCCGTGAGACCACGTTCATACTTGATGATATGACAGATTATGCGAACAGGGTACTGCGCACTCTCCGTTTTTCATCTTCTCCGATTCTTAGATTCTACAGTTCTCCCATCGGCTTATTCTCCTATTCTCTCTTCCACTATCCTTCTGCTCTTCATCGCTAACGACGGTGCCGATTGATTCGTTTTCGTTTCTCTGGCGCGCATTTGCTATTCTGTTTCTTAGGAAGGTATGAACGTGACCTACCCGCGTTTGTTCAAAGGTTAACAAAATCGCATGGCTTGCCTTGATGTAGATTCCACAGCAGATGCAGCAGCGCCTCTGAACTTTGATTGTTGCTGGGATTTGAAAACTCAAGCACTTTCTTGCGCTTGTTTCTATAAGAAAACTGAAGGCCCTCCTTCACACACCGCGTCGGATGAAGCTGACCGCAAGTTTCTCCTCTTTGTGTAAAGAACCCTTGAAATCGAATGGGATTAGAGAGAAAAAGAATCAGTAGGGCCAATAATCCAGCCGTGCTTTCGAGCTATCGCGCTGTTTTCTAAGAGTTACCTGAGTGAATACGACCACCGTCTTTCTCATATCTCTTTATTACAGTTCTCACAACACTTATTTAACGGAGTGACAATAGCGAGGGGGGAAATTTTCTTCCCGGAAACTATACCGAACAAGTAGGTCTTTTCTCAGGGCGATCTTTCTGGTGATTTTGTTATGGATTTACTTGAGAGCACGATGGATTGGTTAAGTTTTTCCTTGTAATCTCTGTGGTCTCTAATTTTCCTTTTTGCAGGTTTTATTGTCGGGTTGCCGATGTATAGAGCTCGATTGCTGGGATGGAACGGGAGAAAACAAGGGAGAGCCAATAATTACTCATGGGAAAGCCATGTGCACCGATGTTTTCTCAAGGCTTAGCTTTTACCAGAATGGCTGGTGGGAAATATTGGATATTGTTCACGCCAGTGATGGAATGGGCGGCAGTCAGGAAACCGCTGCGTTCCTTCCTCGTCCGTGGCTTCCCTGTGAGGAAGGAGGTTGCGCGCATAAAGAGTCAGCGTTGACGATTTCGCCCACACGATTGGGTCGTCGTTGAACGCATTGCTTTGTACTTGCGTGTTTTCGTGGTTGCAATTAGCTTTATACAGTCTAGAATACAAGTTTTTTTTCTGTGTATAGAACACTTGAAAAAGTAGCATGTTAACAGATTTTATCTTCTTTTCAGGATTGACGCGCCGCTGTTGTTTTATCAAATACGTATACTGACATTCGAACCGACTCTGATTTTCCCGTTATTTTGTCGTTTGAAAATCATTGCTCCAAATCTAATCAACTCAAAATGGCGAAGTATTGCATGGATATCTTTGGAGATATGCTGCTTACCAAACCGCTAGACGACTTTCCGGTAAGTTCTTCAATGCATTGGAATACTTTGACTCCGTTTTTAACAGGTGTCAAAAAATAGGGTTTTCCTGCAGTTAGGAGAGTTGGGGGAGGGGCATGCGGAGGGGATGAGGAGGGGAAACCAGGTCGTCGTCTGTTCTTTCGATCGCAAGGGCTGAGGAGGGCGGGGAATCGTTGTCCCTATGAGAGCAGGGTACAGCATCGTTGGGAGAATCGTATAGGGGTTTGTATTTGGTCTCTGTGGAGGGCATTGTGATTGTTCTATGAGAGTTGTATCTGAGCTCGATGAACATTTCCAAACCGCGGATGAATTTTTCCGTTTGTTGAATTTACTGAATTTTTTCTTACGATTACGTACCCGCAACCGTAAACATACCATACTAATTGTTAAACTTAGTATTTGATTAGTTTCATCGGAGACTGCCACCCCCACCACCCACTCTTCGTTAACTTTTGGAGAAAAAGTTCGATGTTTCTAGGAAAACTGAGGAAAGTGGTCGGAAGTTGGAAGAATGAAGGAAGATGGTAGGCAGGATCGGAATGAGGCAGTCCAAAGGAAGGCATTGTGGGGGGTTTTGCTTTGACACCTCCATTTCACACATCACCATGTGTGAGAAAAAGCATCCACTGGTAGGCTAACTCGCGTCACAGCATGCCACTTCACTGGGAGTCATTGGGATGAGTGAAATGGCGGTGTTAGTTTTCTTTCCAATCTCAGGCTGTGATACACCCGCCTATCAGCTTTCTTACCAGAGTTTCTCAAAATTTTGCCGTGGGGGATGGGCTGTAGACACCTCCTGTAAAGTATCAGAAATAGTAGCCGTCAACCAAGAAGGAAGGGCTATAATGCGTTGAAAAGGAAAGCAGTCAGCAACCACAGGTATTTTTCGAGGCCAAATACCCGAATACGGCACCTTCCCCTGCGACCATATATGACCACCCCCTAACGATTACGCCCGGCGATGCTGTGCTCTGCTTCACTGGCCCGAAAAAAATACTCTGTAGCTTTAGTTGATGTAGCTGTGAGACCTCCATGAGGCGGAGGTAGGATGTAGTGACAAGTGGCACGCTAACCACGCGCGCGGTCTTTGGATGAAATCCCGGATCGGCTCACACCCAAGGCGACCAAACCTGAAGCGGTATATTGCTACCAGGATCATCTGGGAGTATAAGAACAGTGACTTTGTACATTGCCTGGCCGTGTAAATCAATTTAAGCCCCATCGCACTCAATAAGCCCTCACGATTGTGAATGGAAGTACAATGCGGGCCGCATCCCAGAGAGAGAATGATCAACAGCAAATATTTAATCCTTTATGAGGCTAGTTATGAGACTTCATCAATAACCATTTTTATTCAGCTCGAAGCGGGAGTGCCTCTTCCTTCTCCAAATCGTTTGCGTCGGAAGATTTTAATCAAAAACAAACGATTAAAACCAGAAATCGAGAAACATCAGCTCGATCAGTTCCTCCGAGAAGGAAAACTGGATGAAGAAGATGAGATCATCGAAACGCCAGAAGTGGTTGGAGAAGATTCGGTGTCACCTCGTGAGTTCTTTTCTACTGAGAATATCGCAGTGATTAGATCTTTTCGCTTGAAGTGATTTCAGCGAATTTCTTAAGGGGGGGGGGGGGGGGGGTAGGGGCATTTTGCACTTTGGCTGCATCACTGGTTCCGCTTTACAAGTCTCACTCTGGTAAAACCTGTGAACAATTGTGACACGACACATCGATTGGAAGTAGTAAAACTGCAACCCCCACTTCCCCTCTCCCCGCGTCGCCGAATTGCGTCGGTGAATTCATATGAATACCGAGGCTGATATGGTCTCGCGCCGTTTTATTTTGTTTGTATTTTGAGACTTATGTTTGTGATTTTGAGGTTTTTCTCTTGCGGAGTTGTCTTCTTTTACTGTTGCCATGCCAGGGTTATAGTGTTCCCATTTAGTTTTTGCATCAGCGTTCTTTTTTTTAATTTTGCGTGCTATTTTTTCGGCTTTGAGGATTAAGTTTCGTTTTTTGTGGCTGCTTTGCTCTTTCGAAACTTTTGGATGCAGGTGGTGATAGAGTCTTCATATTGTGTTCTTTCAAATGACAATATTGTGCAGAAAACGCACTTGACCCGCTAGATCAGTGATAACCCTTTTCGTGGTCGAACTTTTGGGCTCCATGGTGTGCGAAGAATATACAATCAGTCCTGTTTGCTGCGGATGACGGGGCGCGTCAGTGAGACTGGGTGGCACGTTGACAGCCACAAGCTGTTGAAGCAAAAACGACGGTACGGGCGATATTAGGCAGCGTTTAGGCTTCGCGATGACGCGCGTTGACGCGCGATGACACGCTGCAACGTGCTACAGTCGTAACAGCGCTTCAGTTTTATAGAGGCGAACACAGCCGCGGACGGGAAATGGTCGGCGCCTTCCTGGCGGACAGCCAGCCGATAGATTCCAGACTGCGTGATTGGGCAAAGCGTTCTCTACAGTTTTTCCATAATCTCTCATTACAAAAGTAGG